ACCAAAAAAAGTTATGCACTATTTGTATAACTTCTAACTCGCATATAGTATTCTGAAGTTAAAAATAATACGTGAGTTTTTTAAATTTAATATGTATTATTTGCATACTAAACAAGTGTTGGTAATTTATTATGTCGTCAGCTTCATGTTCCCTCAGTGAAATGTTCAATAAAAAATGTAAGATTTTTTTTTATATTTATTTTACTTTTATTTAACTTTCACATTTTGTTGTTATTGAAATTTTTTTGAGTTCATTTCTAATCAAAAGATACAACTTATTTTTAATAATATATTACACCAATCTGTTAAAATATAATTAAACCTGATTCTTATACTATGTTAATTTTATTAATTCTATATGACAGGTTTATAAAATAAAATTTATACTTATTTATATATTATAAATTTATTTTATTATAGTCAATATAATCTATTTTATTTCATCGTTTGATTTAAATATAAAACTGTTTCTCCACCGTTAATTTTCAAATCTCTAATTACATTAAGTTTTGGTGAAAAAGTAATACAACAAATATACATGTATTCTGCATAGTTTAAGACTGCATGGTTGATATAATAGAAATGATACTATTATTTTTAATACTCAATAAATTTTACATACGATTTACATCAATTATTCTAATTTGTCATTTTCTCACTTTCTTTATAAATATAAACTATAAAATTTACTTTTTTAATGACTAAAATATATTTAAAAAAGAGTTATCAACGGATGGTATAAAAAACCTTTTTAATAGAAATAAATGGAGTCAAAGCTTATAAACCCTAACCATATAAACCTACTATGTATAGTTTTTATACAATTTTATGCGCTTAGATTTATAATTAAAATATTTGTCTGTTAAATTTAGTGAAACTAACATTGGTAATGTTATTATCAGAATTTATATAAATTATTTTAGTTATATTATAACTATTGTTATTAACGCATGATTTTTCATATATAATTTTTAAATATTATGCTAACTTATAACTCAAACCATTATAGGTTTTATTTATTTATTGATTTTTTGTTTACATTTGACGTGTACAATTACAATTTCTGATCAGTTTTCGAAGTTTTTTTTTATATTTGAAGTGTACAATTATAGATTTTGTCAAATGTTTAAAATAATATAATATTTGTTTTAATCTCAAGTATGATTAAATTGTTTTAGTCTCGACCTTTGGCAAATTTAGCAAATATGGAACTACTAAACTTACTAAAACAAGCTTTCTAATCAATGTTAAAGAAATGAAAGGAAAATGGAAATAAGAATTTGTTTATAGTTGAGTTAAATTTAAAATAAGATGATTAAATTCAAAGATATGTGAAGTAAAGACTTTGATAACAATTCTGTAAATTACTTTGGAGGATTCTTATTAGGGATGACAACGGGTCGAGTCGGGTATGAATAGTGTTTATTCGCAACCTGTTCCGCATGCAAAAAATTGTACTCGCAACCTCATTCGCTACTCGCTGGATATCCACATAAAAAAATTCACAGATTTTTTTCAACCCACGGATACCCGTTTTCAACCCACAAATATTTAAAAAATATATTTTGTGAATTTTTAAATAAGGTTTAAATTAAATTACAAGTTAAAGAGAACAATTTAATATATTTGCTACATATTAAAAAAACATAATGTAATTTTTAAACAAGTTAAGGAAAACAAATACTGAATAACTTTTGAGAAAAAAAAAATACGAGGAAGAAACACCCAGGAACTCTCGATTTAGTCACAAAATTAACCCACAAATACATATTAATATATGAAATGGAGATAAAGAATTTTCAAGAGAACACAAACCGAAACCCTAAACCCAAATTCCAAAAACGAATGCAATCACAGATTTCTCCAAACCATGATAACCACTAAGCTTTTCAAAAATCCAATCTGCATCAATGAATTAAAATCTAAAAAAACTCAAAACACTCATTCGAATCATAACCCCAAAATCGCGTCACCAATAAACCGGGAAGAAGTCAAGAAACAAACTCCCAAAATGCGAATCAAAACGTACAAAAGAAACCCCCAACATCAGAAAACAAATAAAACCCTAATTTTAAATCCCAAATCGGAACAAAACCCCAATCAGAACCAAGAGAGAGAGGAAGAGAGAATGGAGTCTACTCCCTCCGCAAACTGAACCAGAAGGAAGAAAAAAAAGTCCTCCCTTAAGAGAGAATTTTCTAATGTGATTTTATGCATATGTCTGATATCTCTATTAGGGTTAGGTCAAAAGTAATGTAACCCCTTTTTTTCTTTTTTTCTTTTAAAAAAAAGGTAATTGAAAGGAATCCTAAGTCATTGTTATTAAAATTTACCTTTTTTAAGAGTAATGAAAAAATTTAATTTTAAAAAATATTAATTAAATTTTTATTATTATTTTTTTCGGATAACTGTTATCCACGGGTTGGACAGTATAATCCGCACATCCGACCTGTTTAGAATCGGGTACTAAAATACCCGTTATCTGTTATCCACGGATAATAAATATCCGCAGATAGTAATTATCCATCACGAATTTTATCCTCGAATATTCGCGGGCGCGAAATTTTTTGCCAAGTTGTTATCTTTTGAAACTTGGTAGAATATTTATAATTGAAATATATTTTCAATTTAAAATTTTTGAACATGAGCTGCATTTGATGTTGTAATTGAGTTTTGAACTTATTAAGAATATATAATAGAATTGTTGTGAGTTTTGAAAATGAGTTGCGGTATACAACTTTCTAATTTATTTTTTCTTATGGTCTAAGAAAAACATGATAAAGAATTTGATGTTTGTTATTGTTTCCATTATTTTATTCTTTAAATAACAAATTATTGTTTAATTGAGTTGTTTTCACTAGATGATGTGTTTTAACTCAAGTGAGAATAAGATAAAAAAACATTTTTTTCTTTTAAATAAATCTCTCAAACAACATCTTAAAATTTTAATTCAATGTTTACTTAACTTAATGATACCGAGAAATAATTTAGAAAAACCACGTGTTGATTGAAAATAGTTAAAAATATGACATAAAATTATATGAATTCATTAAAGGTCATAAAGCTTTTCAAAACTTTAGATGGAGAAAAGTTAAGAAAAATTACAAATATTAAATGTACCGAACTTATCATAACTTATTAAATGAGTTATATTTTAATATCTAATGAGACATATTTAATATAAATATTTCAAAAGATGTCTTTAATTATCCTTATTAAAACTAACATTTAAATATTTTTGCTTAATTTATCTTAATTTATTTATTTTTTTATTAGTGTTAGATAGCTCTATATATGAAACAATATCTTAATATTTTAATTTGTCCTTATCCATCCACATCATCGATCCCATTCTTTGCCATCGGAAACTTGTCAGCATGCAATGCAAACAAATCTTTAATCCCCTTCCCATCTCTGTCCCATTGCCACTTTCAATTCCAAACGTTTCGTTTCTCTTCTTCGTTTCTCTTCATCACAATCACGCAACATGCTCAGAAGCCGGCTATGGCAGAAGAGGGCTTTGATCTCTTCCAGAACCTTCTTTTCAGTCTCCGCTTCTTCTCATTGTTCATCATCTTCTTCCCCTACGCTCCCTTCTCGCTTCGTCAAACCTAATGCTCCTTCTTCACATATATCTGTTAGTTCTATTCCCTTTCCATTTCGATTCATCTCTTCTTACTAACAAATTACTGATTCATTGCTTTTAATTTCGCACTTGTAGTTCAATTTTCCACGTGTGAACAGGTGTTTGTTCTGCACTCAACCCGCCCTAGACCTTCCCGCCAGCAATCTAGTGGACGTGCCGTTGGCGCAAACCGGCGAAGGTATTGCAGAATGTGAGCTTCTCAAATGGTATGTCCAGGAGGTCAGTCAATTCACCATTACTTGTTTCGTACCTTCACTGAGATTCGTGTCAATAAGGAAAAAAAAAGAGTATGCCCTGAATTGACTTTTCTGAATTATCTGTTGGTTCGTATTGGTAGGGGGATTATGTTGAAGACTTTCAACCGCTCTGCGAAGTTCAAAGTGATAAAGCTACTATTGAAATTACGAGTCGCTACAAAGGAAAAGTTTCCAATATTCTCTGCGGTCCTGGTGATATCGTGAAGGTGAGTTATTAAATCTCATTCTGTTGGATGTAGTTGAACCTAGATTATGTTTGTGGATTTATAATTTGTTTGTTAGAGTAAATTGGTGAAAGAAGAGGTAGTGCTACGTTGGTGGTTTGGAATTTCGGATAGTTGTCCATGCCCCCCAAAATGTAGGATAAGTTTCCCTGTATATTTGTAATTATTAAGCCATGAAATTTATTATTATTATTATATAATATTATTATTAAGGAATTCAGGGACCTGACCAGGAAAAGTTAAATAGAATATGCTCTATTTGTTGTGAGTAGATTTTTTTTTTTTAAATTTAGACATGTTTGTTTTTTGTTTTGATTAGATGATGCAAAATGAGAAAAGTGGAAAAAG